AAATGATCCGCCCGCCTGGCCCTCCCAGAGTGCTAGGATTACAGGCGTGCGCCACCACTCCTGGCCGAGAAATTGGTTTTTGAAAAATGCCATACTAAGTGTGGTACCACGGAGGATGAGAATGGTGGGAATTTCAGAGCACTGAGAGCTCTTAAGGAGTTCGAGATGAGTTCATCCTGCTTTTAAAGCCATCAGTGTTTTAAAATATATTTTTTTCTGAGTGTTATCAAAGTGTTAGATTTGGGAGATACTTGTGGCTGCAGGACAGACTTCTCTGGGAGGATGGGCTGGGGGGAGTATTTAATAATGTGAAGACTAAGCTGTGGATATGGAATTACAGCGTGATACCTGCTCCTGAGTGCCATACAACGGCTTTCCCTTTTATGCAAAACCATTATTTTTAAGTGGTAGAAACAAGGGTAAAACCATTTTACCTTGAATTAACTCTGTTTCGAGTAGTTTCAAACAGATAAACAATTGCATCCATTCATCAACACAGTCAGCGGTTTTCAACCTGGATAGCTCAAAAACCAGGTTTGGAGATGGAGTGGTCTTTTGCTTTTTAAAATGTTTTAAACAGGGCACTCCAAAGCTTGGTAAATTATTTTTAATTTTCCTGAATGTGTCACATTACTTCTTTTTTCTATTGAGTATAACCGGTAAGACAGCACACGTATGACACCTTGCTGTTGCTCTTGTGTGAAGGTCAGCTTCTGTTGGTTAATGCTTACACATGAAACACTGTTAAATCACTTCTGATGCCTGTTGATAACAAGTTAGAGAATATAGTCAGCCTTTATATTTGTGAGTTGATGTTTCAACAGGATTTTAAAAAACCTTTTTCCCCCACTTCAAAATGATTGTGTTAAAAATCTGGTTTGGTTTAAATTTGCCCAGGACACCACCTAGTGGTGAGAGGTGTGTACCACGGGCTGGTTGGCAAGTGAGAATGGGCCGGGGCGGCAAGATTTAACAAATGCTGTAGTTCCCCTTGATGAATAGAATTTGAGAACTTCAGAGTGGAAAGAAACGAGGTTAATGAGAAGAAAAATGAAGCTGGTGAAAATAAGTATATGTTAGAAATGATAATTTCGGAATGGAAAGACAGCGATACAGCCAAGCTGGAGAAAATGATTTAGTAGATGTCAGTTAGTAAAAATTTGATGCTGTTATTGGTATTAGTAAGCTGTTTTGTCAAACTTTGTGTTTTTGGATGGAAATACAAAATCATAGTTAAAATCTGTCATGTTATTGGAGACATCTTACATGAGAAGTAAATTTAAGAGACACCTTTATGGTGGGGAAGATTAATTTCTGGAAATACTTATATCGCAGTATCTATCAAAGGGGAGGAAGTTTTTTAATGTTCCTCAGACCTTATTTCAAAAGCCGTACCTTATCTGGCTGTAGCTTGAGTTGCCCATAAAATTGTTACCCTATTTAAAATTTGTGGCCAGGTGCGGTGGCTCACACCTGAAATCCTAGCACTCTGGGAGGCCAAGGTGGGAGGATCACTCAAGGTCAGGAGTTTGCTCTGCCTGAGCAAGAGCGAGACCCCGTCTCTACTAAAAATAGAAATTAGCTGGACAACTAAAAATGTATGGAAAAAATTATCCGGGCATGGTGGCGCATGCCTGTAGTCCCAGCTACTCGGGAGGCTGAGGCAGGAGGATTGCTTAAGCCCAGGAGTTTGAGGTTGCTGTGAGCTAGGCTGATGCCACCGCAGTCTAGCCCGGGTGACAAAGCAAGACTCTGTCTCCGAAAACAAAAAAAATTTGTAAGGACTTTTTGGCCGTTCTAAATAAAAAAAAACAAAAAACAGTGACCATTGCTTCTGGCTGTGACACTGTTGAACTATTTGTACATCAAAATGCTCCAGGATTTTAGGATTCTTAACCTCTGCTGCAGAATCACTTTTCTTTGGAATGATTTCCTCAGACAACAGGTGATTTTTGTCCCCTTTGAAATTTTTGGGAGGCATAGGCAGGAGGATCACTTGAGCCCAGGAGCTTGAGATTGCAGTGAGCTGTGATGACACCCACTACAGTCTAGCCTGGGAGACAAAGTAAGACTGTCTGGGAAAAAAAAAAAAAAAAGAAACCAAAAAACAAAAAAAATACATTTTACCTCCAGAGGCATTTGAAGACTGTCTTGTATTTGTGTTGTACGGCACACATTTGCATGCTTTATTTAGCTGGTGTGGTTGTGACTGTGTATTGGTAAATCTTTAATCACCTCTGCCACCTTGAAGACGGCATATTCCTCCAGGGTGGGCTTTGACTCTGAGGGTTTTCCTTTGTGCCTTATAGCAATGTCCAGGACCCAGAGTGCTCAGAAAATACTGCATTTGAGTCGTTTTTTTCTGGTTAGTCTATGTCCTGGTTACCCTCCAGTGATTAATAATGGAATCCAGAATTTAGGAAAGTTGGAAAAATATATATGATCTACAGTTTCAGTTCACTAGCATTGCACACTGATTACTTGACTTTTTTTTTTTTTTTTTTTAGCTGAAAGGGAGTTAGTCAAGGCTGTAACTACCTAATAGGTGGTGACTGCCAGTTGAAAGAATGGTCTTTGATAGTGAGTAATAGAGGGAATAGCTTCCTGTGTTTGTTTTAGGAATATTCTAGGACATATTGAATAGGAGTGTAACATAAGTAGGTGATCTGTGATAAGGAATCATAGCTCACTACTGCGGTTTTTTTTCCTGCATTTCCCTACCTAATTACATTTTGTTTGGGAATTCATCATATGATGAAATGACACTCGGGAAACTTCTCCACGTTTATTATTTATTTCATTTTAAACTTGCTGCCTGCCTCCATTACATTAAGCAGATAGTATCACACTGAATTAGTTAGATGCCACAACATGGTTTGACCTCCTCTTTAAAAATGTTTTATTTAAAATTAGCCATTTTCTAGAAGTAATGAGTATTTTAATTGACTGGTTTTTAAGCTAAGAATAGTGGAATGTCTTCAACGGACATGTGAGCTCTCGAATTACATCACTTAAAGCTGTATATAGTGTGAGTAGTGTTCAGTGGGTGGACAGTAATGAACGGCTTTCTGGAAGAAGGACGTTTTTCTTCCCCTTCAGCTCCATTTTCAGCATTGAGTCTCCTTTAGTGGAGCAAAGGAATTTGTTTTTCTGGGTTTTTTTTCTTTTGTTTGGGTGAAAAGACTTGGAGGAAGACTTTTTTTGCAAGTAGAGCAGTTTCTTAGATGCTAGATGGAGAGATGTTTGAAAATGGCCTCATGCATGGAAAGATAGTCACTTAATGTACTGTAACTTTATTTAGGTGGATGGCTAAGATTTGGGTCACAGAGTAGAAAAAGCATAGAAGTCCACATACTGAACTTGAGGTCCTTGACTCAGTGATAACCTGCCACACAATGACCGT